GCAGGCAGTTGGCTGGCACGTCGTAAAGACGCACTGACATGTCCCAGGAGGTACTGAGGCTGAACTTCACAGAAGAGATGCCATCCTTGGGCGGCTGGTTCAACTTGAACTCGTTAGAACTCATCATCTTGGTCTCCCCACAGAAGCAAATGTACTCAGTCTCTAGCTCCAGCTGCCTCCAAGGTTCCCTCAGAGCACTTTCTCCAGAGAAGTCTTTTAGGTGTAGGTGGTTTTTTGTCTTTGTGTCTACCCCAAGAACGTACCCTCCTAATTTATTAAGGATGAGAAATTGCTGTTGTACTTAGCACTCCAACTTTTGGTTCTGGACTATTGTGGAGGTTATAACCCCAGATGATCAATGTTGTCATATTGTGAAAAACTTATTACAACATGTATGACATTATGGTTAAAGTAGTACAATAGCATCAAAAACAGCCTAGCATATGACAAACTGTGGTAACTATTGGTTTGGTATCTCTGTGTAGGAGTCACTTTCAGGTCCTCGTCTTGGTCCAAGAAGCCAATATTTATAATCCCAAAGTTGCGTTATTGGAGTCCCATCAAGTTGATTCCAATCTACCACTTACAATGCAACCCACGGTGAAAATAAAGACACTAAGTTATATTTTCAGTCATTGGGGAGTCAAGGGGCTCTCAGTCCAGCCACGAAGATGACTTTCCGGGAACCAAGAGAGCGAACCAGGACCTCACCTGGTTTTTATTCAGTGGGGGAGTGGCTTGAGGATTCACTGAGAATTGTGGGAAGTAGGTGATCATTGTGAGCTGAGCTAGGTGGATGGCCTAAATTTACCTCTGCGATATGCAGAGAGAGTAATCTGCATTATATAGTATCTAATGTTTTGGGAAGTCTGGTGTTCAGCTTTGATGTAATTTTTCAAGCACCAGGAAGTCATAGCCACTCTCGAGGGTTCAGAGCATTAGGTCTACTGTCTTGTCTCGACCTGGCTCACATTAAAGAGCAGCAGGTATAGGTTACCAGGGAAACATGCACGCCACCTTCAAAGACAGTCACCAGCACCTCAGGTAGACCAGTATACATTGCTTAAGGCCAATTGAAGGATAAACAGAAGTTCTAGCCAGCTCTGTACAGAATAATATGAGGAAATAGGGTCAGGCTCAGTCAAAATGGGGACAGTTGCTCTTCTTTCAAGGAGAGCTGCTCAGGTGGTTCTCCACATCTCTGACTATAGGCAAAAATTCTACAGTCTTTTTTTTTTTTTTTTCCTTTTTTCAGTACCAGGTATTGAACTCAGGACCTTGTGCTTGCGAGGCAGGCACTTATACCACTGAGCTATCTCCCCAACCCTGGAAAAAAAAATTCTATAGTTTTATAACAGTCCAACATATGCAATGAGTTTCCCCTTGGAAGATTGATTTGCACTGCTGGCTCCATGGGAACCTCAAATAACACTGTTCTTTCATGCCAGGCTGGGCTTCCCAGCCCCTTCTAAAATAATTTTTTTGAAGGCTGATTGCAAGTTTCAGCCCACCCTGAGACAGCTTAGACCCTGTCTCAAAAAGTAGTTGACAAAAGTAAACAAAAAAAAAGGGGATACGAATGAAGGATGATTTTGTATCTGTATATTCAAAATAGGATAGATATACAGCTACTTTCTGTTAATTCAATGAGAAGAAAGATTTGTAGTAATAGTGTTTGTGGACAGGATATCATGTCTGCATCTTGTACTATGAATAACCACTAAGAAGACAACAATATGGAATGTATTAATTATTGAAACTGTCCTACTAATTGGTTTTGAAACTATCTCATTGCTATTTGTTTCTCAATAAAATTATTTTTTTAAAAAAGTAAAAGATTCTGAAAAAGTGTAGCTAAGTTACCTCAAATTTCCCATCCTCTTGTCTCAGCATTCTGAGAAGATTAGATCACAGGCATGTGGTACCATGTCACATGTAAAGCTAGTTTTTAAGCTGGTGTTTATAAAAGTTTCATGCCATCATTGCCCTCTGTTTTCATAGCATAGTAAGGGGATGTGTGCCTATTTTGTAATGGGAATGACTTTGAACTCAAGTGGGTTGCATAAAGGAACCCACTTGAGTTCAATTTATTCCTAGCTGCAATGTGATGATTTATAATTGGTGAATTTGGATTTTGGTAATTGAAACTGATCCTTTCAGAGGCAGAATTGTGTATCACTTTTGCCAATTAATGTAGTTTTTAAAATTTAATAATTCTACATTCATAGACTATATAGAATTTCCTTTTCAGCTTGTGTACAAACATATGGCAACTAAAAGGGAATCATTCTTAAATTCTGTAGCATTGACAAGTATGACTGTAGCTTTCCACATTGTTTTGTTAATTTGATACCCTTTTGAGAAGTTTGCTGTGAGGGTACTCTGTCTAGCCTACAGTATTTCACTTATTTTACCTTTCCCTTAAGTAAAGTATGTCAAATAATTGACTGGAAAAGTAGATGAAAGATCTGGAACGGGATTGTTACAGATAGTCTGAAGCTGTTCTTGGAGATGGAAAAAAAATATTTTGAACTATTGTTTAACAGCAAAGCAGCCTTATAAAGAATTGATCTATGTCTCTTAAACCATTTTGGATTTACTCTTTTTATAATCAGTAAGGCCTTTCCTATATAGTAGAAAACTTAGTGCTTGGGGTAGGGTATCTTAGTCACTTTGTCATTGCTGGAGCAAAATATCCAACACACGCAATTTTTAAAGTAGGAAAGGTGTATTTTCGATTATATTTTATTGAAGGATTCGATCCATATGTAGTCAGTTGGTACTGAGGCAGAAACAGCATGGTAGAAGAGGCTAACCAGAAGAAAGTCACTCTTGGGCTGGAGAGATGGCTCAGTGGTCTAAAGCACCTACTTAGAACAAGCTTAGCAAAAGCATCAGGGACCGCGGTTCAATCCCCCAGCACCACATGCCAGCCAGCCCCGCCCCCTGGTGGGCTGAGCTGGTCTCTCTCTCTCTCTCTCTCTCTCTCTCTCTCTCTCTCTCTCTCTCTCAAATAAATAAATAAATAAATAAATAAATAAAATTTAAAAAAAAGAAAGATTAAAGGAGATGAAATATTAAAAAAAAAAAAAAGAAAGAAAGTCACTCTTCTATGGCAGCCACAGAAGCAGAGAAAAGGGAAGGCAGGATCCTTGGAATGAAATACGGACTTTCATCTGACTCCCACCCCAGCTTCCTTTTCTGGTTAGACTCTACCTCCTAGCAGCATGCATTCATGTGAGAGTTCATCAGTGGATGAGCGCCCACTTGTCCACCTTCCAAAAACCTACTTTAGATGATTTGGGAGGAGGGCAGTATTTTCAATCTAAATATAAGGGGGATGTGTTTTATGATTGTCCAATTTTCTACCTTTTGAAAAATCAGACATACATGTTTATAACATATGTATGTTAAAACGTCATACTAGCTCACATCTGGCCTTTTAACTTTAAATTGAAATTGTTCTTTTTTAATTCATGTGAACTGGCTATTGGCTTTGTACCATTGATTTTTAGTTACTTTGTTTTTTCTTACCAGTAAGACCAACCTATATTACTGTATTTCTTTTGATCAGAGAAGTATACTTAGGTGATCTTTAAATTTTTGTATAGTTCTAAAATTCTGTAGTCGTATGTTTCACCTGCTATTACCACAGACACTTAAATCACAGTATTTTTTTTATTGTGTCCTTTTAATTCTCACTTTTGAATCACTTGATCATTTTAGTTCATTTTCTGCAGTGCGATTCTGCAGTGAAAACTGCATAAACAAGTTTATTCTTCCTCCTGTAAAGATTTTTTTTTTTTCCTTTGTCGCTCTAATCTTTTGGTCTTACAGTCTTCAGTCTTCCCTAGCTTAGAGTTGCATACTGATTTACATTATTTTTAAAATTTTAAATAAAACCAAACTTGTTAGGATGTTTATCAGAATCAGAATAATTGCATTTAAATCATGATTATAAGAGCATAAGTATTTTGTGTAGGTAAAAGTCTGCCTTATACTTTCAGAAAGACAAAGTTTAGGCTTATTCTGTTTGGAAGCAGTTACTGTAATTTATTCAATATATAAAGGTAATTAAGGTTATTCTTCATTTGACTTGTCTTTACTCCTCAGCCACTCCTATTCTTACTTTATGCTCTAGTAAATAAAACTTTAAATTGTAAAGCCTAATATTTCTATAAATATTAAAAATGCTAAACCTCCTGCATTTTCCATATATGATAATGTCTTGTCTTGTGAAGATCTGTGCCTTTGCAGATTCTCATTCTCTTTGCTTTACAATTCCTTGAACTATTCACTCTGACATCATGTGGAAATTTGTGAAAATGTTGATTCTCATTCACTAGAATTGTGATGGAGCCCACAGTCTGCCACTTAGTAAATTATCAGGGATACTGATGATCTATAGATTATGTTTTCCATAACAAGAATCTTGACTTCTGGGAGACTCATCATTATCCTGAACATTTCTGCACTTTCTCCTCTTAATTCCCATGAGTTCATCTAATTGTTCTGTCCCAGGAATGTCATTACACAGTATATAAGTTTTTGTTACAGTTGTTTATAGATTATGTCTTTGCTCATTGGAAATTTTTGTTTAAAGAAACTCAGTCTTTCATCCTTATATATCAAAAGCCTACCATACTGTTTAGCAGAATATATAGTTTTAATAGATATTGTCAATTAGGTGGTTTTATTACATCCTGTTGACAGTTATATAATCAGATATGTACAGTGAATATTAAGAATGGCCTTTGCATTTTAAGTTTAGTAAAAATAAAGGAAATTACAAATATGACTTTTCCTTCATACTCCTTTTCAAAAAGTTTTTTATAAATCTCAAATGTGGGCTTTACATCTCAAATGTCCTACCAAATGTGGGCTTTAAAGTAATGTTCCAACATCTTAAAGTCTCTGTGATAACAATACAGTATTTCTCAAGATAACTTTGTAGAAGTAAGTTTTTAAGAAAAATAATAACTATTTCTTTTTCACCCAAGGAACAGTACAAATGTCTACGACAAGACGAAAACGTGTTATGTTATGCTGTTTACCATAAGCTGTAGTAAAATGAGCTCGATTGTTGACAGGTATGTTTTTAGAGACTTTAAATTTTTAAAAATATTTGATTATTAAAATATATATATATATATTTGATTATTGAATCTTTTAATTATTTGAAAATTTGCTATTAGAATAATGTTCCATATCAGAGTGGTAGGATTTTATTTCACTTAAACATAATTACTGTTGTATTCAATTTCTGTATTGAACAAACATGATATAATAATAAGATACATCAGTATTTTCAAGAGCCAAAGTTAATAGTATGTAGCCTGTATTTTAAGTGGTTATTCAATCACAGTTTTTAGTCATTTGATTAAAAGCTGCTTGGCATGAAATGATAGCAACTGCAGATGTTTCCTTGGTACCTCTAGAGTCTCTGCTGCTAATTCTGTCCCTTCAGGCATCTTACTTAGCATTTGTTCCTGATAAGAGGCACCTAAAATTAAGATCACTAGTTGAATTGTAATGTTTGAACCTCGCTCTTACAGAAAAGATACACTCAATTTCTTAGATTCTACGACTTGTTAGAAAATTTAGACGTCTCTATAATTTGATGTGCCTAAACAATTGATTTATGATTTAATTGTTGGCATTGTTTTTCCTTTCTTAGTGGCACAAGAATAATAAAATTACATGTTAAATGATGAAATACAATATTTTAAAGTACCTACTCAGACAGTTGAAGCACAAAATAGTTTTGTATTTCTAACCTATAATCCATAATGTTGTTTGGTTGGTTTTTGTTTTTTTGTTTTGTTTTTTATGGTACTGGGGATTGAACTCAGTGCTAGGGAAGCACTCTACTACTGAGCCACATCCCCAGTCCTTAATCCAAGAAATAAATACGATTTTTTTGGTGTTATACTTCTGAGTGATTATAGACAGAATGACATCTAAAGATGACATCTGTGTGTTTGAGGTTAAATAATACATTTAAGATCACATAGCTAGTAAGTGATATACTGGAATTTTGACTTATGTTGGTTCATTTGACACTAAAGTTACAGTGCTTTTATTATACTATACCATGTGATTTGTACATAGAAAAATAAATTTAAGAATTTTGCAGGTACAGCTGCATGCAAAAGTAGCTATTGAGTTCTGAAGGTAGCTTCCCCTCTTTTCTGTAGGTACACATTAAAGATATATACTACCAGTGGTAGTGAATCAATGGCACATGTGCTGAAGCAGGCTGTTTGTATTACTGAAAGCACTAAAGGTTCGGCATCACTCTTCTAACAGAATATAAAACCTGAATATCTTATATTTGAGGAAAAGAAAAAAAAGGCAAAGAATGTCCTTGAGCGACTTGCCTAATCATAACCATAGGTTTGGACTATGCCCTAGCTAGAGGTGGAATCTATAAGAAATCTTCCCTCAGAATATTTCATTTTTTACTGCTCCAGAGGGATTAAACATAATTTTTTGGTGTTATACTCCTGAGTGATTATAGACAGTATGGCATCTAAAGATGACATCTGTGTGTTTGAACATAAATTAGTGATTATTAATATGGGTTCTTTATGTCTCTGAAGGTTACAAAAATTATGGACTTTCTCCACAACAAAATACATATTCACACAAACTCTTCCATAAATTTCTAGGTATAAATGGAATCCCAAAAATCTTGTCATAGAGCTCCATGGTGTAAGATTTGTAGTTGATTTCAAGAGTGAGTCCAACAGGAAACTTACAGGCTGTTGGCCTTTGTAAGCCATAGAAAGATGTGGCTTGAGGAATAAATAGCTCGTGTAAAGGTTTGCAAGCCACTGGAAATTTGGATATTCCTATGCCTTATCTTAAGGAGTTAACTGCCAATGCTCTTGGTGTAATTTATTAGACTGTTCTTACCCTTGATCATCCCATTGCCAACCCTGTCTTGTCACTTAGATCTTCCCTTAGTGTCCGTACTTCAACAAGTCTTTCCCTAATTACTCAAAATAATCACTAAGTAACTAAAATTAACACCTTAAAAAAACCCATTATCACACATTTTCAAGTTTGTTCTTTTCTACTAGAAAAACTAAGAGAGGTGCTATAAGTTTTAATTACTGCTCTGTAACCACATTCAGAATAGAAGCCATGTACCTGAGTGCTAATAAATATTTGTCAGATAGATCAGTAAATGAATGAAAATGTATAAGCTAATTGCTAGCTTTTGATGTTAATGAGTATGGCTTTACAAATGTATCAAAAATTTAAATTATGCTATTATAATCATTGAAAATAATTCCAAGTGAAGAGTTTTATGCAGTGCTAAATATATTGACTTTCTTTAGACTCTCCCTGGTTATTAAAAGTTTGAAACAATATTTAAGCTAGTTAAATTCTTGTTTAGCAAGCTGTATACATGTATAGTTAAGTATAAATATATGTAGAAAATCTTATAATTAACTATAGCTAAAATATATTTTTAAAAAACAGGATACTAGTCATTGAACTTGAATTGTTCAGTCCATTACCTTAATAGAAATTCTGCACTATAGCTAAATCAATTTATCTGCCACTATAGTATTGCTTTTGCTTAGTGAATCTACTCTTACTTTCCACTTTATTTTTTTCTTTTAGAGATGACAATAGTATTTTTGATGGGTTGGTGGAAGAAGATGACAAGGACAAAGCAAAAAGGTAGTTTATGTGAGTTATAAAATAGTGAAAAAGTGAAAAATGTGTAAGTTAAATAGTAAATAAATAGAAAATCAGTTATTTCCAAATGCTGTCTCCTTTAAGAATTTAGATAATATTAGCAAAGTAGAAGAGCTTAGATGATCAATATGCAATTTATGAATTAAATATAGTTATCCTCTGACCTTTTGGAAAAACATTATACTTTGATTAAACAAAAACAAAATTAGAGCTGGCCAGATAGTTTACCAGATTAAATCATCTGCTTAGGCACACGTAGGGGACAAGGGTTCAATCCACCACCTGCTGTGCTGGCCCCACCCCCCAGGATATGCTGAGACAGTGATTGAGACTGGGCATGGTGGCGCTTGGGAGGCTGAAAATAGGATCACTATGAGTCCAATCTGTGTAGTGAGACAGAATATCCCCTATACCCCGTAGACCCTGTACTTAAATACATTAAAAAAAAAAAATTAGAAAATCTGACTTTACAAAGCATATAATCCATTTACATCATAAAAGAATTCACTGCTTTATAAATGTCTCAAAAGCTCTTTGTTTGCTGATTACAAATTAACACAGAATAGCAATAATTATTCATTTAGCACATATATTTAGAATGCTTACAACTGTTTAGATGTTATGTGTAGATGCTTAAATGAGAACCTTGGGTCCACATCTCAGACAGGCCCAAATGCAGAATGGCTATACTCTGTTGGAATTGGCTCTAGTAGGTACATAGGAGGAAAGAGTATGAGTAAGTCTAGGGGCAGAGAGAGTTTCATTTATAT